CTTCACAAAACTGTAGGACTCCAACCTCTAATCTCTTCTTAGGCATTCTGAGCAAACATGGCATATTTGGTCATAGTAGGGATTTTTTATCTGCTGTGGGCATGGCTGTATTAACTACCCCAAAAGGTAATCAATACATTCTTCAACCTTTGCTCTTACTACTTATTTTTTCACAGAGAAGCAACATCTATTATTTTCTATAGTTACTCAATAGGAGAGAACATGGAAGTGGTGAAGGGCCCATATCAATATAATTCTACTATCATTACTTTAAAGTTTATTTCAAAAATATGAAAGGATTAAAAGTGGTCCAAAACATGGCCCACTTGTTTGGCCTCAGCTTCATTTCCTGGTTTGTTTGTTTTGTCCCCTGTGTTTGTTGGAGGTGAACAGAGGAGATGCAGAGAGGAGGTAAAAAGGAAGAATCATGCATATACTCTCCCTTCTGTAATGAGGGCATCTCCCACCTCCTTCACTTAGGAGGTTTCTTTAGCAGCTACTATGTTGTCAGCATACTGCCTAGCTATACAGTGTTTCAATTTCATAGGTAAGGATGAGCTAGTCTACATGGGAGTTAAATTCTGTTTCTAGCAATTACTAACTCTATGGCTTTGAGCAAGTAACTTAATCTCTCTCTCTCTGTCTTCTTATCTGTGAACAAAATGAGGAAAGTGCTTAATAGTACCTAATAGTGTTGCAATGAACTCCAAATAATTTAATATTTTTTTTAAAAAGAGACAAATTTAATAGCATAATCAATAAAATATATTTAAAAGTAAAGAAAAATAATTTTTTTTATTTTATTTTTTTAAATTTTATTTATTTATTTATTTATTTATTTTTTTTTTTTAATTTTAGTTACTTTTCAAGTACATTTTTTTCCCTTCCCCCCCCCCCCCCCCGGTCTCCCCCCTCCCTCCCATTCCCCCCCCATCCCCAGTCCTCAACTCTGTGTCTTTCATACTTGTTCCTCAAAATCCCTCCCCCTTTTTCCCCTTAAGTTCCCTTCCCTCTCCCCTCTGGTCGCTGCCCACTTGTTCTCTATTTCAGCGTCTTTGTTTTTATTCTGTTTGCTTGTTTGTTTTATTCTTTAGCTTCCTGTCAAAGGTGAGATCATATGGTATTTGTCCTTCAATGCCTGGCCTATTTCACTCAGCATAATGCTTTCCAGTTCCATCCATGTTGTTGCAAAAGGTAGTAGCTCCTTCTTTCTCTCTGCTGCATAAAATTCCATGGTGTATATGTACCACAATTTTTGGATCCATTCATTTACTGATGGGCACCTAGGTTGCTTCCAACTCTTGGCTATTGTAAATTGTGCTGCTATGAACATTGTGGTGCATAGGTTCTTTGAAATTGATGTTTTAGGATTCTTGGGGTATAATCCTAGCAGTGGAATTGCTGGGTCAAAAGGCAGGTCAATTTTTATTTTTCTGAGAAAATTCCATACTGTTTTCCATAATGGTTGTACCAGTCTACAATCCCACCAACAGTGAACTAAGGACCCCTTTTCCCCACAACCTCTCCAACATTTGTTGTTTGTTGCTTTGTTTATGATAGCCATCCTGACTGGTGTAAAGTGGTATCTCATTGTGGTTTTAATTTGCATCTCTCTGATAGCTAACGATATTGAGCATCTCTTCATGTGTCTCTGAATGTTCTGTATGTCCTCCTTGGAGAAGTGTTTGTTCAAGTCCTTTTCCCATTTTTTAATTGGGTTGGGTGTCTTCTTAGAGTGGAGTCGTGTAATTTAATATTTTTAAAATTGCTTATAATAGTGTATGACAATAATATTATTGATCATTTTTGCTATTCTTGCCTTCAAAGCTCTTAAAATACAGTCAATAGAGAGAATGCATAATAAATCACGAGAACCTGAGTGACACATATGGTAAGTGCAGAATTGCAGGAGAAAGAGATACAAGGTAATTAGCTTTTAAAACTGGTATTTGTCTACCCAGCGAGGCTGCCATTTAAACTGGAGGATGAAAATAAGGAATTTTACTGACAAAGGAAGGCTAAAAGAATATACCTCCATTAAATCAGCATTGCAAGACATGCTAAAGGGACTGCTTTAAGAAGATGAAGGAGCCTGGTTGGTGTAGCCCATTGGATTGAGCATGGGCCTGAGAACCACAGGATCCAGGTTCAATTTCCAAACTAGACCACCAACTTACACCATGCACCAAAATAAACTCAATATGGATAAAAGACTTAAATATAAGATGTGACACCATAAAAGTCTTAGAGGAGAATATAAGCAGGAAAATTTCAGGTACCCCACATAGCAGTATTTTTGCCAATATGTACCCTAGGGCAAGGGATATAAAGGAAAGAATAAAGAAATGGGACTACATCAAATTTAAAAGCTTCTGCATGGCAAAAGAAAACATCAGCAAAATGAATAGGGAACCAACTGTATGGAAGAACATATTTGCCAATAGTACCTCAGACAAGGGTTTGATCTCCAAAATATATAAAGAACTCACCAGTAAGACAAACAATCCAATTTAAAAATTGGCAAAGGACCTGAACAGACACTTCTCCAAGGAGGACATACAGAGGGCCCAGAGACACATGAAGAGATGCTCAACATCACTAGCCATCAGAGAGATGCAAATTAAAACCCCAACAAGATACCATTTCACACCAGTCAGAATGGCCATCATTAACAAATCAACAAACCGCAAGTGTTGGCAAGGTTGTGGAGAAAGGGGAACCCTAGTACACTGTTGGTGAAAATGTAGACTGGTATAGCCATTGTGGAAAACAGTATGGAATTTCCTCAAAAAACTAAAAATAGATCTGCCTTTTGATCCAGTGATTCCAATGCTGGGATCATACATTAAAAATCCTGAAACTCCAATTCAAAAGAACCTATGCATCCCTATGTTCATAGCAGATTTATTTACAATAGCCAAATGCTGGAAATAGCCTAAGAGCCCATCAGTAAATGAGTGGACCAAAAAACAGTGTTACATTTACAGAATGGAATACCATGAAGCAGAAAGATAAAAGGAACTCCTGCCCTTCCCAACAGCATTGACGGAACTGGAGAGCATTATGCTAAGTGAAATAAGTCACGTGGTGAAAGCCAAATATCATATGATCTCACCTGTAAGTGGAACATAATCAGTAAAACAAAATGACCAAAATAGAGCCAGAGACATGGAAATAAAGAAATGACAGTGACCAGAGGGGAGGGGGAGGGGGATATAGGGGAAAGAAGGGGAAGGGACAAATCAAGGAACATGAATAGAGAACTCATAGACATGGACAAGGGGTTGGGGACTTACTGTGGGATTGGGGTAGTGTGGGACAGGGGAGAACAGGGGGAAATAGTGGGACAACTGCAATTAAACATCAATAAAAAACTGGCATTTGGACTAGCAATATCAGTATCAAATAGTTTTGAGTGTTTTTGCCTCCCTCATACACTCTTTTAGGGGCCTCCTTTCTGTCCAGGTTTTGTCCTCATAAATAATCCTTTGAAACTCTGCTACAAATAGGTATCCCTGCTCCACTCTCTGTTAGCAGGGTCCAGGCTCCCTGGCTTGACTGAACTTTGAATGAAGCCAGTGATTTATTCTCCCCACTGGAACTACAATGGAACAGCTTGGCTAAATGCTAAAGTAAAGGGTATACACTATGATACATGAGTTCTGAAGACTCTGGCTCAATTTTTCCTAGTAGATGGTTTAGGTTTCTTTGTGACTTGCAACAGTTAATGTGTGGGTAAGAAAACTGCTGGAAATATAATCCATTGTAAACAATCGTGAGAATTCCATGAAAAATCATGCAGATGTGAAAGCAAGTTTTCACTGCATCTAACTTTCAGATAGGACAAAAGCTTATCAGCAAAGTATATCTGGTCTCCTCTCTAGCTCACCCTTGGGTTCACACTCACCTGAGAGTCACAGAAGGAAATCATAGGCATTATAGAGGCACTGGGTCAGTGTTCTAGGAGCCTAGATAAAAAAGCTCCATTCCCGGGTCCAAGTCCCCAGAGGACTCTTAGCTCTCTTTAAAGTCTCAGTTCTCTAATCTATAAAATGGTGAGGTTTTTTTAAGGGCAAAAGAAGTAGTAAATCTGTGCAAATTTTTTGAAAATTGCAAAATAACACATAATTGTATGGTGTGCTATGACATAGTTTAGAGTCTAGGAGGAAAATAGAACAAAATCAAAAGTGAAGGCTAAGAACATAAAGAAGAGAAACAGTTTAACTACCCATATAGTATATGTAAGAATACATGTATAATTTTGCAAGCATGTGATGACTAATGCTTGACTTCAGGTGAAGGCCATACTAGGAAAGAAGAGACAGCTTCTATTTAAACTTACTAAGTTAAAAAAAACATTATGTTTAAACTTACTAACTTAAAAAATTGAGGATTCATTTTATTAATTTAAGACATGCTGTGTTGATAAACAAATGTTAATGTGCAAAGACTTTAGTGCAACCAGATCTATTTTGAATTATAAAAGGTATTACATATATATATATACATACATATATATATATATATACATTTTCATTTATTTGTGACTAGATGCTAATGACCTTCATAAGGGCAAAATGTTTTATAGCAGTTAAAGAATTTAGTCATACCAGCATATTATGTTCATGACTTTATTCATTGTGCTGTGTACAGAAATGATAATATGCTCAGTATTGTTATTTATCCATAACATATGCTTTGGCAGAAGAATTGTTATGACAGTATTTGCAGCACCTAGGACACGGCAGGCTTTTAAGAAGCTATCAATAATACCTGCTAGGACACCTTAGGTCATCTTGGTAGGTCATGCAGGAGGTATTACTCTATGATTAGTTGACCCCTCCACTTCAAGGAGTTGATGATTGTAAAAATATTTGTATGTGTGAATTCTAAACGGGATTCTCAAAGGGTTAAGAATCGGTTGTCAAAAAGAGAATAAGTGGTATCTATTGAGTTGTACTGTAATGGCTTCCTAACAGGAAATATGTTTCTTCTCCTAGGTGTTAAAGTTTGAGCCGGGCCATTTCAGGAAGAGGGGCAGATCGAATTACATGGCTCTCGTTGACATCCAGTTGGATCACCATGAGCTGTGTGATTGTATCTGCAGTTCCAGACCACCTCGATAAATGAATGTGCGCATACATTAGGCATGAAAGACCTTTTAGTTTAAGGAGGGTGTGGTAAGAGATCCTTTTCCCACCAGCAACCGAACTTACTATTAGACTGCAAAGCAATAAATACAAATGGTCGCTGAGTTTCACCATAGCTTTGTTAGTGCTCTGGCAAGTAGAAAGGTATATCATCAACCGCTATAACCCAGAATATAGGATTGCATTTAATAATAGTTATTAAACTATCCCATGGAATATGAGGATATATCCATGTCTCTCAGTAAATAGATCAAATGGTTTATCAGAATATATAACCAGGACACCAGAGCTTACAATAAGTTTGAGTCATTTAGATCCTTAAAATATTTTGAAAAAACAAGAGACATATTAAATACACGAAACACATCTTTGAGATATTTGGAAGGTTAATTTATTTTTAAATCTTGAATCACAAAACAATTTTGGATTTTGTTTTTAATATAATCACCTTATATATTAAAAACCAATAAATGAGCTTTTTATATATACACCTTAATTCTGAAAAAAGGAAAAATACAGTTTCTGGGGAGAAAGCACAAACCAAACCATTTTTTCCATGAGATACACTACATGTTTACCTATATAGACAATAATTACTGGTCTTCAAAAGCATGCCATAAAAATATAGATGCTTTAGAAATTAAATAATTTGATCTTATTTTTATGCATCTTACTGAAGCATTCAAATTCATATAACTCTAGTCTCAATTTTTTTTCTCAAAAGATTTATTATTATAATCCTACAGAAGACAGTTTATAAGCTGTAGCAGAAATTTTCATTGTTCCCAAAAATCCACCCACGGAAGTAACTTCTTTGGAGAATGGCAGGGAGATTCTGCACCAGCCTTTCAGAACACTGTTCATTGAAATATTTGGGCAGTTAAAAGTCAAAAAATTAAGCATTGAGGTATTAACCTAACTGGAAATTGGATGGAAAATTTGTTAGTATCCATAGTTAATAATGGATTCAAACTCTCAAAACTGTGCTAATCAATTTTGTGTATTTCCTTTTGTGTTCCTGTCTCTTTGATATACAGACATGGAATTACAACGCCATCATGGATTATTTATAGCCTGAAAGGTTTTGTGTATTAAAACAACTCAAAATTTTTTATGTAAATCCCTAAACATGAAGTCACTCACCATTTCTGATTCCCTGTTTTTGAACTAAGTGATATCAGATCTGGGGTCTCTAGTTCTTTTCCAAATCTGTGGAGCTTGTTCTAAGAAGACACATTGCAAATTGTGAGTGCACAAGTTTGGCCCTGCTCTACCTCTGCAAAACTGTTTTTGCGTTGATGGCTATTATTGGTATTTAGAATAATTTTTCCTCTCTGGCTCCTTACTGTCTGTCTGCTTTAAAGGAGACCAACTCCAGGAGTAGGAAGTGATTCATCATTCTCCAAGACAAGACTCTTAAGAGAGCAACATTGAAATCAAGATAGCTCCAGGGTGCTCAGAGAGGACTGCATTTTTCTTCCTACCTTGAAAGAAAAAAGGAAAGCCAATTTCTTCTGTGAGTCCAGGGCCCTACTGACTAAATCCAGTTTGAATGAGGGGCATGTGGCAGGAGCTTGTTCTGTCCCGGTGTCAGGTGAGTGGCCACTTGGATTTTTAAGCATGGTGCTCTCAGAACCAAATTCTCAACTACACTTAGCTCATTTCTACTCAGTTTTTTTGAGATGAAAGGCCAATGCTTATTGAAGATATGCCTTCAAAAAATCCCTAAAAGTATCCAGGGTTTTTACCTCAGGGAGGTGAGTGATAAAATTAAATAGGTTGGTCAGTTGTCCAAAATGTCCGTGTACCATCAGAAGTAGCTGAGACAGACATTGTAATAACCAGGCACCACTCTGCCCCTTCACAGCCATTTGCAAGCTTCCTTGAAAGTATTGGATTCCTGTACAAAAATCAAAATGTGTTACATCACACTAACTTGTTCAGCTTACGTTGTGTCATGAAAAATGAAAGTGTTCTACCCAATTTTCAATAAACCGTTCATGTTGCGATAACCAGGATGGTTTTCAGTTAAAATCCTATCTGTACTTTTTATTTATTAGCTGAATGAAATGTAAGCAGGCATATTCACTCACTTTTTTTCTTTCCTCAGTATTTTATTAAGACCTCTCCCTTGGTTATCTGTTACCTATCACACTTCCAACATGTATTCAATAAACCTCTTTCATTGCCTTCAAAAGAATAAAAAACTCACTGTACAAGTTACATTTCAGAACAAACCCTAATAAATCCACCTGAAATAATGCCTTCCATTCAATATGTTCTTACAGGGCAAAGCACTTTCAAAAGTAGAATTTTTGTTTTTGTCATATTGGTAACATGCAGCTTTTTCCCTCACAGCAAATGTGATATGCCTCTTATCTTCGTGAAAAATAAATATTGCTTTTGAACAAAAGCACTCCAGTATTTAGTACTCCACGGCAGCTTTAAAAGGTGCATAATGTTCATAATGTTACAAACTTACTTTTACAAACACATGCACTTGTTTGGAGTGACAATGTCCAATTTCTGACAGTGTGGTTTTAGAATGTTGAAAGGGCACAAAATTTGTACATAGGTTTTCCTTACTATATTGAGGTTCACTTATTGAGGCTTCACTCTATCATATTTTTTTAAAAGCTGCAATAAGTGAACTGTGATGTAGTGAGGGATGACTGTATACCTCACTGGTGAGTACCCATATAGATTTTATGTTGCTAAAATTACGTAGGTTTAAGAGTTTAGAAAGTGTTTAAGAGCATATGAAGTGTTTATAAGAGTATGGGAAAGGTTAGTAAGAGAGTGGGAAAGGTTTATAGGAGTGTATAGGAGGTTTGTAAAGCCTTAAAATATATATAAATAATAAAATAAATATAACGCCGCTACTTCACAGATTTTCACCTATTGCGGGGTCACTGGAACATAACTCCCGAGATAGGTGAAGGATCACTATGCTGACAATAGGTTTCTACTCTGTCTCTGTCCTAAAGCCAGGCAACGGGGTGAGTCTTGGGTTTTGTGGTTCTCTTACTGCCGTTGTTGCTTCTTTGTATGATTTTGTTTCCCCTCTTGCCTTTAAATAAAATATATTCTTCTCTGATATTGCTCACTTAAGAGAGTTCATAGCCCATTTCTTCCCCCGGGACCTGAAATCAATAACTTCACAGATGCCTCTTCCTTTTGTCCATCCTCACACCTTTCCCTACGTAGATGGACACCCCAGCTGGCAAGTCAGTGGTGTCAGCTCAGGGAGACCAGTTTAGGGGCTATGCTCCTATAAAATTTGGTTCATAATTTGGGTTGGAAGGTGAATACAAGGAGAGCTGTTTTCAACACAAAAACTGCTTTTGCTTGTAGTTTAATCTTTATCACCATGCTACCGTAGACAGGATCACAGCTGCAGAGTTGGGTGAAACTCTGCCACTTTATTTAGTTTAGTGGTTTTAGGTCATTTGGGGTAAAAGGAATAGAAAGATATGTATAATGCAGAAAGAATCAATTTTACCATGGAAATACCAATTAATAAGTGAAGAAGGGAAAGGATCAAATAATGCTGTGCATAGTAGTTGATTCATATAACTTCAATTTTTATGTAAAAAATTCATACTAGCTGTATATGTAAGTAATATTGTAATGTGAATACATTAAGATTTTTACTTCATTTCCCAAAATGTGCAGGTGTCCAGTTTTCCTCTAAGAGTATCACAGCAGATGTCCAAATTGTTCATATTATCCTGGGGTCCTCTGGTAGAGCATTACATTAAAATACACAGATCAATATTCATGCCTGAAATCCTAACACATATAATTTTGTTTATGGACAGCTCTGGTCAAATATGCTGAAAGAGAGGATATTTATAATTCACTGGTTTTATTGACATTCACTTAAATTCTGTTGTTTTTAAGATCAAGTTAAGGACTACAAAGGCCTTCAAAACTTAACCTAACTCCCTGGCATAATTCCCACATACAATAGTTAGCTATCAACAATGGATAAGCAATTAACCACTTAATTTAAGACTTTATGTTTGCTGTTTATCTTATAGTTCTGACTTTGCAAGTCAGTTTGTACCTTTTTAAAAATAAATTTTATTTCTATCAAGATCTCTAAAAATTCTTTCACAGATCACATTCAAAAGGAGTGGAGCTGAGTCTATAATAAAGGTTAATATGTTCGATGAGCAAGTTATGGGCCAAATCTTCATTTTTTTAAAAAAAAAATTGACTTTCTAATTATTTAAAACTGTTAGATATTGTTTGCCAGCTTTAGAGGCCAGGATCCAATAATAAAACCACTCTTGGATTCAATTTGTATTTTAAATAATGCTTATAATACAAATCCTCTTTTGAGAACTAAATTCTGAGTCATATTCTCTAACCTGTATCTTTGGTCAAGGCCATATCACAAATTCATTCTTTTCTAGTATCTTCTAACCTTTCTTCCACATTACTTCTCTCAAGTAATTGGGAGTAATTTCTCCCAATTACTTCCACATTTCTTCTCTTTCTCACTAATCTCTATCCACCAGTCTTTATGTCAGAGAGCATCAGGATCAATGATTACTTTGGGAAGGGACAGGAGGTCATTTGAAGAGGTCAGGAGATCAAATGGAAGATTTTTCAATGGAGCAAGCAACAGGGCTGAAATTGCCAGCCATTAAGAAATCACTGCTTTTTGAGAATTGAACTCATCGAGTGAAATGTTTTCCAATATTTCCCATTTTGGTACAAACTTCAGAATACAGTGGTGGATATTTATTGTCTTCTATCAAAGGAAATTTAGCCATATTCAATACAGGGAAAAGTAATTACGTTAAATGTTTTAAATAGTCATTCAACAACAAAATGTGTTCTTGTACATTATCAAGCATGCTTTGGGGTTCAAAACACAAGGTGCACAACAGAGGGTAAAACTAGGGAGAGATGGTGTAGGTGATAGAAACAAGAAGAACAAAGATCCCTATATATATATGAGTTTAAAGAATAGAGAGGAGTTAGGAAAGTTCTTGATTCATGTGGATGGCTAGCAAAAACTTTGTCTTTTACATGTTGGAGAGAAAGCCATGAGGGTTTCTGAGCATAGTATGGCCTGCAAGTAGGAGAAAGAAGGCCTGGGGTTTAGTGATGAGTCTGCCACTTTCTCTACCTATGTTTCTTCATTTACAAAATCAGAAGGATAAGATGTCCTGTAGGTCATTTCAACAGAAGAATTCTGCAATTTTGGAAAATTCTGCAGGAAGAATGGGGGTATATTTATGAATTAGGAAGCTCCTCAAAAGTCTGGGGAATGAGACAGGGACAGAACTGAGACCTCAGAGACAGGAAGGGTATAGACCCCCTGAGGTTGGGCAGACTGTGCATTGCAGATCTCTATGAAATGCTATTTGCATGGACTAAGGTGGCAAGAAAGATAAACAAGAGGATTCAAAGGTCCTAATAACTGGATGGGAGGTTAGTGCAGGCTTGGGGGCTGTTCTGAGGGAAGAAGTCATGTGAGTTGGAATTTTAAGAGAATGTATTCTCCTTGGAAAACTAAGGAAGGAGAGGCTAATTTTGAGAAAAGAGATCACATTCTCTTAGAAGAGCCGAGGCTTGTAATGTTGACTGGGAGTCATCTTGAGAGTATAGAAGCTAAAACCATGAAAAGATAAAAAACAGAACCTGAAGGACATTCATAATCATAGGGAAAAGGAAAAAGAGAAGAATTTACAAAGCTCATAAATAAGTCTTCCAAAGCTTGGTAAATACTTAGTGAGGGCAAATAAGCCCACTTTGCTCAGCACTGTGCCAGACAAACAGATTTAAAGAATAAAATAGCCATGCTTCCTGCTCTTATCAAACTAATATTAAATAAATGATCAAATAAATAATCCATTATATTTGTTAAAAGCAAAAGCATAATGTGGGATGACACTAAAAGAGAATTTAGGTCAGGGGCGGAGAGGGATTCCTTAGGAAGATGACAGTGGAACAGAAACATAGGTGAATAAATATTCTACTTTGGGGAAAGTGGAAGGAAAGTGAGGCATTAAGATGGCAGCATTGGAATTTTTTTAATGTGGCTGGATTAGGGAAATATTTTGAATGTTTAATGGACCAGAGGAGTTTTGAAAGGAAGGTGAAGATAGTTGTCGAGGATTTTTCCCAGCCTTCTGGTATAACAAACTGGACAGATAGAGATGCTATTTATTGAGATGGGAGAGATGGGATTAGAAGGAGATTTGGGGTAGATCAGAAATTCAGTGTAAGGTATGCCAAAGGGTCTTTGACATATCCAGTTGGAGATATTAAATAGACAGGTCTATGGGTCTGGAGCTTCAAAGAAGTGTCTGGGAATGAGATGTAAATTTGGGTGTCATTAAATGTAGCTATTAAAAGCCACAGGAATAGTTGAGTTGCTTAGGAAAGGGGGAATATTGAGGGGGGAAGGATCACAGGGAAGTTCCAAGACTATAAAAATACCCTGAGTACCAGAGGAAGAAATTGATCCAAGGGGCCAGTTTTATCAAGTGTTGCAGAGAAGATGTAGGAGACACCTACTGATTTAACTGCCCCAAAACACTCTTCCCCATTCCTACCTCCACTCATTTCTGGGAGAAGCCACTTTATAGTTGCACTGTGCAATAGAAACTTGTGATGATGAAAGTGCAGTATATTACCATAGCCACTAAGTCCCATTACCATAGCCACTAAGTACGTGTGGCTATTGAGTACTTGAAATGTGACTGATATAGTGGAAGACTTGAATTTTACTTACTTTACATTTAATATGAATAATCACATTATGAGTAGAGACTACTGTATCAACCAGTGCATCTCCAAACTCTAGACATCACCCACAGAGTTGTGACCACCATAACCACTTCATAGGATCACACACACACACACATTAACCTCAACCAAGTGTCCACGGTAGTGGCACATGACCCAGCCTGGGACCTAAGTCTTCCTTAGGATGTATAGAACCAAGAAGA